AATTTGTAAATACAACAATGAAGAATTTCGAGAAAAGTAAAAATTAACCTCTTTCCTGAACAAGCCGATAAAGCAAATGCAAACTACGGTGTCAGCTGATCTCTTACGGAACACAGCTATCAAGAAGACTAGAACTAAGGAGGATCAACTCGTGCCAATAGCGGTAGTGGGAGTGAGGCAAAAAGTGGCGACGGATAACTTCCCCCACTCTTGCGCTTCATTAGTCCTCTCTGTCGCTCTATATAGTCGTCGCTCTGTCGTTCTATAATCGTCACTTTGTCGCTCTTATATCGAACTTTCACACAATGCGCAGTACTGCACATTGTGTGAATAACTGCGGACGTTTTTTGACTCACCCCCACCACACGAGTTGATCCTCCTTAGTTCTAGTCTTCTTGACAGCTATGTTAGTTACGCTACCAACCTTGTAACTAAAAAGAAAATTTTCAACACAGCTATCGGAACACAACCTCAGTATGCACTCAGTGAGCTCTTATATCTGTTTGGTCTATATTTTTAGTTCTAACGGAATATGCCAATAAAATGCAAGCGCTCACTGAGCGCTCATTGAGCGGTTGTAGTACTAATTGCACCCAATGCGAGAGAATAGCGATAGCGATAGTAGAAATAACATGATTTCAACCGATCAAAAATCGGATATATTGGAATACACAGTTTCTGATAGGTTGAAATCGTATTATTCCTATCGCTATCGCTATTCCATCGCATTGGGTGCATCCAGAAGTACGATTTCTCGCTGAGCGCTCAGTGAGCTCTTGCATCTAATTGGCATATACTATTAGATCTAAAAATATAGACCGAACAGGTATGTACAAGAACTTATTGGCCTAGTTTACATCGTGCACTTGATACACGTATCAGGTACTATACTATATTTGTATCAAATTCGTATTAAACATTTAGTACGCACGATGTAAACGCTGTCGGATTATTTTGGTACGAGCGTATCAAGCAAGAGTATCGTACTAAACTGATACGCGTATCAAATGATACAAATGACAATGTAAATTAGGCCAGACTAAGCTGGTATGCGTATCAAATAGTAATAGAATCAAATAGTCTAATAGAATCAAATAATAATAGAATCTCAACCTGCTGTAAACGCTTGGTTCGTTTTGGATCATATATTAAAATTCGCCACTGCTTATAAGTTCAGATTAAAATTAGAATTAGAGGTTTTATATCTGGAAAAGCAGTGAAGACATCAAGTCACCTAACCTGATCTGTTTTGAGACAGATCGGTGTAAATAAGGACGTATCAAATATTTAATCCGCATCAATTTGATACGCGTACTAACCGATTTAACGGTATAAAAGGGGTCATTGCTTTTAAAGTACAAATTCACTACTTTAGCAGAGAATTTATGTTTTTAAAGCATAGTGAACCACTGTTATGAGACAGATTTTCTAACCCGAATAGTCTATTTTAATAGTTCCTGCACACTGGACGCGGAAACGCTTGCCAGCCGCGCGGCAAAATGTGACGCGGTAGCCAATAAGCTTACAGCTTCTTACATGTTCATTGGTTACCGCGTCGCATTTTGCCGCGCGGTAAGCATTTCCGCGTCCAATGTGGAGCCATAAGGATTAATATTACGAAGCTTATATCTAGTGTCTTATGCCCAATTTCTTCACCCCTAGATAACTTTATCCATGAAGTAAGGGTGTAGCCACAATAGAAGGAATAAGGAATTAGGAATAACAACTTATCAGAAATTGGATCCATCAGAATACACGGTTTCTGATAAGTTGAAATCGTTATTCCTTATTCCTAATT